TTTAGGAAAATTCCAAAGCTGATTAGGGCCGGTTCGGATGGTTACACGATATTCATTGCCCCGTACATCATCCTTGAAATTATCTGCACTGTTAAGCAAGGCCCCGGGCACCTACAGTTTGAAACATCTGTGTAGCTACTTGAGCCAACTCTGAATTTTTGCTTTCCTGCCAAAAAAGAAAGAAAGAAGAAAACCCTTCCTCGAGTGAACATAGAGGAGAGTATTTGAAAGCTATGCTTCACAGCAACCTTATGCTCTCCTAGTAGCAATTGTTGAATAGCAAAATTCTTACTACTCTGGGGCTGAGGAGGTGACTCAGGAGTATGAGGACAAGCATGAGGACCTGAGTTCGGATCACCAGTAACCGTGTGAACTCAGGACCTACTCGTCACTCCAGTTCTAGGGGAAAAACATTGCAGATCTCAGAGCTCTCTAGCCGGCTAGTCTAGCCAATCTGTGAGTGAGAGACCCACCTCATAGAAATGAGGTAGACAGCAACAGAAGAAGAATCCGATTCTCTCTCTAGTCATCACACACACACACACACACATGAATATTCTATACACACATACTACACACACGTACTACATACACACCTTATACACATGTGTGCTACACACACATACTACACACACATACCATACACACATACTACATACACATACACACATAAACTACATGCATACTCTACATACACACGATACACACAAATTTACTGTACACATGCTACAGAAAATAAACTAAACTTTCAAATCTCCATTTATTTATATATTCTTCTAGTAGAGAACTATGGTAAGCTGACCAATAAATGTTTTAATAAGAAACACTTTTCACTGAAGTATTTTTCTGGGTTGTGTGAAATGAGGACATAAGTAAAAGGAGAAAAGCAAGTGCTATACTACCAGAGGTTGGAAGGACTTGTTCGTGGCTTTGATTCTTTGTGATGCTGGGATCAAATCCAGGGATTACTGGGGTCATGCCCTCAATGGGAATTTGGACATCTTGACCCATCTAGCCCTTCCATTTGGCTTCTTAACCCATAAGGATAGCAGTTTTGTAATGCTAGGCTTGCCTGCCATGTGCTGCCTTGTCACGGATCCAAAGCAACAGGGCAATGAATTGAAGATGGAGGTTTCTGTCCTGCCTGGTCCCACAGCCGCTTCAGCCCCAAATAAACACAGGGACACTATATTAATTATAAAACTGTTGGCTGATGGCTAGGGCTCCTTACTGGCTAGCTCTGTCTTAATTATTAACCCATGACTACTAATCTATGTATATCTACATGGACTTATCTCACCAGAGAATGCCTGGTATATCCTATCTTCCCAAGCTCTACATGGTGTCTCCCAGCAGCCCCCCTCTGTCTCCTCTCCCCAGCCTGGTAGCCCAGACTATGCTTCCTGCCTGGCTTTTAACCAAACAGTGTTTTAGTCATCAACCAGTAAGAGAAACATATACAGAAGGGCGTCCCCCACCAACAAAACTGACAAAATGAACCTATTGTCTTCTTGAGCAAAACTTCTCAGGTGTTTAATGCCGGAAATCGAGCACACCTGTCAAACAGAAGCGTGAGTCATCTTGGAGCTGACTCCTTGCTGCAGCCTTCCCTCAAGTGAAGCCCCGCTAACGTCTTACCATGAGTGGTCCTCAACAATAAATGGCAACTAAACTGACCCTGAGTTCCTCAGCTACAGAAACCGCATGGAGTTATCAATGTTTTCAAGTTTGAGGATAACTTGTTGGAGATTTGATGTTATTTTATTTTTTAAGTTAGTATCAAGGCAAGAGGGTACCTTGTGACGTTTCCTTACACACTTTGGGTGAGCCTCCTCACCACCATTCACCGCTCTCCCCAGTCTTCCTATTGACCCACCCCATCCTACACATCCACAACTAGTGTACCCTTCTAATTTCATGTCACGTGTGTTCCATTGCCCTCTCCACTCCTCTAAAGACACCCCCATCTCATGCTCCCTGTCTCATTTCTGAACCTCTACCCATACTATATACCATACTATAGCATTGATTATCATCATTACTCTGCCATCTAAACATGCAAATATGAACATTAGAATCTGAGACCATGTATAATAGTAAAAAAATGTCATTTGTCTTCCTGAGCCGGGGATGCTTCAGTTAATATAATAATCTCCAATTGCATTTATTTCCTGAAATTTTCATAATTTCATTTCTCTTTGTGGTTGGATGAAATCCCATTGTACATATACACCATACTTTCATTATCTGTTCATATGTTAATGGGCATCTAGCCTGATTCCACTCCCTGTTAGTACGAATAGAGCAGCAATAAATGCAAGTATTTCTGTGCTAGGATACAGAGCCCTTTGGACATTTGCCCAGGAATGATGTAGGTCACGTGGCAGTTCTATTTTTAGGGTTTTTTTCCTCCTGAGGAACATCCACACTGACTTCACATCCCCGCTAACAGTGCATATGAGCTCCTCTTTGCTTACATCCAGGATATGTTATCACTTGTTTTCTTGAAGACAGCCTTTCTGACTGGGGTGAGGTAAAGTCTTGATTTGTTTCCCTAATGGCTCGGCATGTCAAATACCTTTCAAATCATTCACCGACCATTTGTTTCTTCTGAGAGTCATTAGATAATTTGCATTTGGTGTCACTGTCCAATCAGTGTGAAAATCTCTGGACTCTGGTTGAGTCTCTTCACATCGCTGTAACAAGAGGTTCACTTGTTGACACAGGCTCGTGAGCTGCGCTTTAAACAGCAGGGCTGTTGGCATCTTGCTGCTGCTCCCATCACAGTTGTCCTCTGATCCTGGGTACATTTTCTACTCACAGACTCCAAAACACTTGATGTACCTTCACCTTCTTTTCCAGACATTTGCTCCTGAGCTGGGTATCACGCCCTGGTCTACACAGTTGTGTCCAACTCACGTGCCATAACATCGGGAACTACAGATGGAAGCTTCTTTAAAGGGGAAGGGAGCATGTAACTTAGATGCTCAGGCATAAATATCTAGTGGGCCCTGTGTCTTTGGTGAAGCCCTCCACGTCGGTCTAACCTGAACCCAGGGGTTGACTACAGTGACTGCCTCACCTCCCACTACCATCTGCCTCCACAGAAAGTCTCTGCTGCTCCCCGACACACTCACCACTAACCCTAACCTACGCAGTGCCCAGAACGGCTCTGTGTTGTGACCAGTTCTAATTCCCATGACTCTGAAGGTTCTCCCAAACCCTTTATCCTTATGTCCCTGGTATCTGCTTCAACTTCCTGCAATCTGTCTGTCTTGTAATACAAACATAACTATAAATTAGTTATTTTGATTAAACAATAGAGTTTTGTGTTAAAGGAAAACTGCATTGTTTTGCCATATCAATTATTATAAACATATATACACGTGTTTTTTTAATCTACTCATATTCTTAGAAAATTTGAATTCTGAAAGCAAAGTATGGAAGCTGGAGGTTGGATGGTGGATTTAAAATGAGTTTTTTGAGGAAGCTATGCCTGCTCAAATGCAACCCTGTCACTTCAGAGCAGCAGTTCTCAACCTAGGGTTCATGACCCCTTTAGGCTCACAGGGGTCACTAAGACCATCCCACATATCAGAAATTTACATCACAATCCATAACAATATCATACTTACAGTTATGAAATAGCAATTGAAGGTGGATTTAAATGAGTCCACCAGATCCAAGATAAATGATAAATATGTATTTATTAGGGAAGCACTTACACAGATAAGAGTAAATAACCGCCATGATCTTCCTGCTCTAGAAGATGCAGTCTCTGCCCTTTGAATGCTCTCCACAACCCAAGAGAGGGCTAGCCAGCCCCTCCTCTACCTTATAATGGGTCACATCTGCCCCTGAAACCACGCCCAGATGGGAGTCACCACTACAAGTTCACTGGCAAGACAAAATGCCATTACAAGCAATGAAAACGATTTTACGGTTCGGGGTCAGCACAGCATGAGGAACTGTATTAAAGGGCTGAGAGTGTTGTGGGTCTAGGTAGGATAATTAACCCCTGTCTGCATTATCTTCATTGCAAGCGGAGACAGTTACAGACCCAGACCAAGGACTGAATTGGTCAATGCATGCGCCGTTGGCCATCAATAAGAGGCCTATGCTCACTCACTTGCATGCAATGGACACCTTTGCCTTCTCTGTCCTAATTGTGTGTCGGCAGCACAGACCACAGTTTCTTTGCATCTTCCTATTGGGCTGATGTGACACAATTCACGAATATGCTTGCAACTATATTCAGCAGCTCCCCCAGGTGAGATAGGCAAAGATAAGAACCCCAACGGAATTACAAGCCAGCTGTGGCTATTCTTGGTGAATATGTAGGTTAGCCTATGACACTAAACAGTAGTGTCAAGGGCTGGAGAGATGGCCCAGGAGTTATGAGTATAAATCACTCATACAGAGGACCCAGTTTAGCTCCCAAACCTTATGTCAGTTGACCCAATAAATAACTATAACTCCAGGGGGAATCCCACCACTCTGGCCTCCATGGGAACTTGTACTCACTTGCATTAACAAGCACCCACACACATTCATGCATGTACATACACAAACACACACACACAAGACCAAATAAATCTTTAGTAAGTGTCATGAAGGTGCTGTGTGGTAGAATTTTAAAACAATGGCAGCTATAAAATTGCCTTTAAAGAGGAAGAAAAATTTAGACTGGTGGTTCTCAACCGGTAGGTCACATCCCTTTTAGCGGGTCAAACGACATTTTCACTTGCCTATGACCACTAGAAAACACAGATATTCACATTATCATTCAATAACAGCAGCACAATTACAGTTATGAATTAGCAACGAGAATAATTTTATGATTGGGGGTCACTGCAACATGAGGACCTGTTGTACTAAAGGGTCGCAGCTTTAGGAAGGTTGAGAACCACTACCCTAGACAATTCTATTCACAGGTGGTTTTGCACTACAGCCAAGTTGTAAGCGCATGCGCTAAGACAAAATGCCAAGGCAACTGAGTGTTAGTTGGATTGCATGTTTACTCGATCATAACTTTAAGGGAGAATAATGGTCACATCAGCCTCGGAGCAGGTTGTCGCCACATTGGCACCACTGGCTTTAGAAACAGCTCCTGGGTTTGCTCCTCCACAGCTGCAAGAAATTGGATACAAACTGCAGCTGAGTGTGTAGCTCAAGGTAGCGGTCACCAGCTGCACATTATTTGTTTTGTCTTGTTTAAAATAGTGCTAACTTGCATGCCAGCTACTGTAGGCCCCAGATTCTATTCATTAGGGATGGAAAAGCTAAGCTTGTCCCCTGGCAGCCTGTGCCAGTTTGCTTCCAAAAGCCTGCCTGAGCCTCCGCTGGCCTGTTAGAGATTTCAGGGGAATGGCCAGGCTCTTCCGGGACACTACTTTTGAGGTTGGGTCCACTAGTGACTTGACTTGCATAATAATCACCTGGGGAAACAAACTTACTGAAAATAAAATTTAATTTTCAATCCCTATCCTCAACCATAAAGAAATCAAAATCTCTGGGGACGGACCCTGAAATCTGCATTTTGGTCCCGTGTATTCTTACACTTGGAGACCCACTGTCATCTGGAGCCTACCCTAAAAGGAATCGTTCCTCAGGAAACCAATCCGGATTTTCCACATCTAGAAACTGCCAACCGTTTTCTCCTCATTTTCTCCTCCTACTCTGTTATTCAAGGTTCAGTAAACTTCCATCTGCTTAATCGTTCTCTGCAACAATTAAAATCTTCGCTGCCGAGTTTCGCTAGTTGGTGAAGCCCAGATATAAACTATCTCAGCTCCTTATAAACTCTGCTCTCGTGGGAGTCTGTGCACCCTGGTCATTGTCATCTCTCCTTAGACCGCACAAAGCTCCCAGAGCATGCGCAAAGGGGGAATGTGTGTTACCATGGCATCGTGCTCCTCTGTGGCTCCCCTTGTAACAAATTTAGTTGTAAACACCGCTCCTGGCTGAGTTCCTCATTTGTGTGGCTCTTTGTGATCCAGCCAGCGGAGAATACGGGCGAGCAGTCTTTGGGTACACTGGATGTGTTGGCGTTCATTCCGACGCTAGGATGGAAGGTGACACCTCTCCATCCCAGTTCATCATCTGGTACACCCAGGCATTTCAATACCTGTGGGATGCACGATCAAATGAACACCACCGCTCCGCTACCCAACCACAACCTGCTAGGGACCTAGTCACAAAGTCCTGTGGGCTCGGACGTAATGCGTAATAGCCCTCGGGGTTTTGATAGCTTTAGCTATCTTTCTTTGTTCAAGTCATTCCCTTCTCTTACACGAACTTCTCTATCCCTGTCCTGTGTTGCCCATCTCCTTGATTCCCTGAGTAGAACTTTCCCCGGGAACTTTTAAGCTCACTCTTTCGGTTCATGATTATACTCAAACGTGTTCTTTTTTTCCAGGTCATTTCGGGAAATAAACCTCAAAAAAAATTTGCTGTCCCAAAATCCTTTCTGATCTTGACTTTTTAACCAAATTTTCTTTTTGTTCTGACTGCTACCTAGTGATCGACCTTTATTGTATGTCAATAAATAGAGCAAGGGAGAATTAATACACAGGATAAAAATTCTAGGATCTAGCACATTGAATGACTTGATTTGTGTCTCAGTAAAACACACAAACATGGGGGATAAAGTTTGGGCCACGCCTATGTTTTTCTGGTGAGTTTGGTACCCATTTAAATATCTGAGAGTCCCATTTTCCTGAGATGTATTACTTAGCTTTCCAGAGAGGAAATGTTCTGTGACAACTGGCACTTTTCTAGGGTGTGTCTAAGATCTGCCTAAGACAGCTCCAGAGTGCGCCTGATGACCCAGTGTAACTATTCATTGCCAAGGCATACGACCTGGTCACTAGAACACCTATCTAGTCACCCATTTGTGATCCTTAAGTGTAGGAAGATACCAAACAAGTAACCCAGACAAGACAAGCAGTTTTCCCGCTGCCGAACCGGAAGCCGAACTCCGGGGAAAAGAGACCGAGACTTCCTGTGTGCTGTCTTTTATACCTTCCCCCGTAACGCCCCCTAGTCAGGCCCTTTGGGCCTGGCTAGTGATGTAGTTCCGCCTACGTACGTATACGTCTTTACGTCCAGCCGTATACGTCTTTAGTCCTGCCTAAAGTGGGTGTGGTTAGTGGTGTGGTAAACCGCCCTTTTATTACCTCATCTGTATGCGCCTCTAATAAGTCACATGTTTAATGGCGGCATACAAACTTCCTCCTACACTTAAGTCTTAGATAAAATAAGAGCACTGCTTTTGTAAACCTTCCCCCCACACTTTCTTCCACACATCCTACTTACTAACTCTCCCATGTTAAATAACAGAAATGCTAAATAATTGCCCTGGGCCTTGGCCTTTACAACTGGAGATCTGGTAGACCAGACAAAATTATCTGATGATAAAGGTGACTCAACCCATAACCATATCCTTGTAGGAAGAGGTCCAATTAACCCTTACCTAGAACAATCCATTAACATGTACTCCTACAACTAATTAATTGTGCCTTCTCTAATTACTAAAACATAAATCCACGAATATTTATTGAGCACCTACTATGTGGTAGGCACCGTCCTAAACACTGGGGATGTAAATGTTAACAAAAGACTTATGCTTTCATAGGAATGAACAGTTTAAAAAAACAGATAATGAGGGAAGAACCAGATGACTCATCAGGAAAATGAAATATAGAGATGGGATGCAGCATGCGCTATTTGTGATACAGGTAAAAAGAGATTGCACTCAAAAATAGACATGAATTTTGTTGTTTCTGTTGTTCCCAAAGTGAAGGTGGCTCTGTTGACAAGCACCTCCAAGGACCAACGTTCCTTCAGTCTCTCCAGCCATCCTACAGGGTAGTGTCCTCATGCATGTGGTCTTAGTGATGGGTCAGCTGCATGTCTGTATTGTAGTCAGGGAGAATGAAAAAGTTCAGAGCAAGTGCCTCTCTGTTCAGAAGACCTGTGAGCAATGAGGCCCATGTTCCTCTCCCTCCCATGGCCCACTCTGAATCATAAGGCTACAACAAATTACAAAGCCATCTCAGAAACATAGTCTCTAGGTGAGTGACACCTAGCTAAGAGTTGAGGAATTCTATTATTTCAAAAATAAAAGAGAAAAAGACACAAGTTGTAGTTGCTGTCATGATGTATCTATTATATTTTGGGCTAGTGAAGTGAAGACTTCTCCAATGAGTTTCACACAGAGAAGTTTTTAATTAAAGAAGACTTCTGGGGAGGTGGCTTTTGATATGAGGACTGACAGACACAAAGGAGGCAGTCAGGTGATATATATGAGAGTTAAAAACTAGTAACTACACCTGATGACCCAGAGTAGCTAGTCACTTCCAATGTATACAATTTGGCCACTAACTCATCCAGTCACCCTACAGGTCATCCTGAAGTCTGAGATAAAATAAGAGTATAGTTAAGTTAGAGAAGTTAAGATGAATGGACATGTATGTGCTTCAAATTCATTTTTAGTTTAGATTTAGTCGATACAATATGTGCTTATTTAAGACAGTCTCACTAACCAAACACATCTTGAGATAAGTATGAAAATGTATGTCATGTAATTTTTTTAATTGGTGAGATTTTTAAATTTTGTTCACATACGGTGTCTATGCTTCTGGTATGTCTGATTCATAGTTACACTGAAGTAGTTACACAGATACTTGATAGAAACTAAATTCTAAAAGCTTAGTTTTTCTGTTTGTTTGTTCAATGACCTGGGATTTTTCAAATAGCCATTACCACCTTCTCCATACCCTTTGCCATGTGTTCCATAAGCTAAGCGACTGGGCAGCCCCATGTAGAGTATAAAAAAGATTGTGGAATAGGAAACTTTTCCTAAAGTAAACCGAGAGTATTTCTAAGCTGTAGGCTCATTCATTACTCAAATGGATTGTATACAAACCAAGAAGTATTTTGACATTGATTACGAGGGGAGAAAACACTAGCTGGAAAGGTATCTCGCCCTCAACCCATTCTGGGCACTAGTCCTGAATCTAGTAAACATAGGTCTAATTAAAACCACAAGAAACACTGCTTGAGGCAGAACTGTAGTCCAGTATGCCAGCTTAGGCAAGAGCACCGGAAAAGTCTGGGCATCAGGCTCTAGTGCCCAACAATGAGGAACTCTTGTCGTGGAGTCCTAACCTATCTCTCCTAAAGTAAGAGACCGTGAACCAAGTTGTGAAGTCATCTTCTCCAGACAGTCTCTTCCCTCAGGCCTCCTTCATTGGCCTCTGTGACCAGGAGTGCCCATTAATTAAAACATGATTGCAGGGAACATGGACTTGACAGTAACATCTCTGGCATGAAATAATGGCCTTAAGCAGCTCCCTGCATGATACATGTACTTGACTAGGCTTGGGAAGTTGGGATCTTCCTCCCCCTCCAATTAAAGCACATCCATTGCCATTTTTGATGAATGGGGGTTTGTTTCTGAAGTAAAGTTTATGTTATAGTGCATCTAGGTTGTCTGTCCTTCCTTCTGTGGCCTCCACAGGTAATGAGTCTCCTTAAATGTTATCTTGGTTGTAAATTTTCCCCTCTCAATAGCTTCCATTTCTTTGTGTGTGTGCTTGTGTGTGTGTGTGTGTGTGTGTGTGTGTGTGTGTGCATGGGAAGATAATAAATGGAAGCTAAGAACATTCTAATCTCCATTTTCCAACTGCCCTTCTTCTTCGCATGGGCTTGGGTGCTGGTAGGTGTCCTGTGTGCAGCATCCATTACCCCTAATGGCCTTTTTATGCATCTCACAGATGCTCATTTACCTCTAGTAAATTCTTTGTCAGGAGTTCAGCTTCTGAGTGGTTCTTCCATGCCCTTCTAACCTTTCAAATCCTCAAGCCATAAAACCTTAAATAGAAAGTGCATGAAGAAAAAGAATGCAGGCTGAACCTTGGGTTCTTGCAAAGTTTAGGAAGTGCTTTGCCGTCCCTAACTAGAAAACACAGAAGCCCCACAACATACCAGCTCCAGCACAAAAGCCTAGACTTGTCCTTTGACCAGTGAGGTCAAGGAAGCTTTTGGCTCCATGAGCTACCACTTTCCGAGAAGACAATGTCTTGGAACATAACTAACTGGATATTAACTGCAATCCTGTTTCATTTTTAAAAAGAGGAGAGTGATCCTGAGAGCGTTCAAGGGTCACAAAATCTGCCAGGGGCAATGCATTAAGTGCCACCAGGGTCCCATGCCCTCTTCACTCCTGCATAATGTTGTTTGGTAGAAACGATATTACTTCCATCTGGAAGATGGTGTTAAGTCCACAGAGGCTCAGTGTTGGCATGGTGTAGCACAGTGCCACAATCTTCTCTAACACTTCCCTGGTCCTAAAGATCTTTTAAGGAGTCTGGAGCTATCTATTAGCTTTGACAGAATTGATGTGTTGCCAACTAGTACACTCTGTCACACCCATGGCTTCCAGCAGGCAGATCGCTCAGTTAAATGTAAACGTTGAGACTTAGTATCTCAGCTAAAAATGGCCATCTGTTCACACTTACTCACCATCCTTCCCAGACATATTTATTTGACAATCTCAAAGGAAAACTCCACTTGTAGAGAGGACTGGGGATTTAAAGGTTTAGACTTTCTGCTTAAGGGCTGTCAGTTAAGCCTAACAATTATCTCGAACCTGGTTCAATTCTTCCTAGAAATAGAAACCCACATTTTTCAGATGGTTCCAAAAAGTACACTCCTGCATGTGTTTTGTTTGTTTGAAACAAGAACTTAAGAACAAATCATCAGGTTGGACAATAGAACAGGCTGCCTTTATATTTCTTCCCTTTTGCTTTGTCTCTGTTCATCCTGTTTCAGGTTTTTATCACATGGTCTTGACAGAAAAAAAAATGGATGCAAAGCTTGAAACTGTAGGGTGTCCCTTACTTTATCAGTGATTGCTTCAGCAAGCCATCTGAGGTGCCCGCCAGTTCCCCTGATTTCTCAGGGTTGGATGTGCTACTTGAGGAACTGCTCTTGACCGTTGTGGTCTGAGCCCGGGCACTCAGCAGTGCTTCCTTCCCCTCCCAGCCCTGGAGAGACATGCTTTGCATGTGCCATCCAAGGTCTCTTTGGGGCATTCTCAACAGCTGGAGTCTCAGATGGTCTCAACTGGGCAGGAGGGAAGCTTCCGTTGTTACCATGCATTAGGTGTTTTTACAAAGTCAAGCTTCCCATCAAGACCCTGGTAGACAGCAGTATTGAAATAGGTGTCGAGCCGGGTGGTGGTGGCGCATGCCTTTAATCCCAGCACTCGGGAGGCAGAGGCAGGTGGATCTCTGTGAGTTCGAGGCCAGGCTGGACTGACAGCTTCCAAAACAATACAGAGAAACCCTGTCTCGTAAAACCAAAAAAAAAAAAAAAAAAAGAAAGAAAGAAAGAAAGAAAGAAATAGTTGTCAATTCCTTATCAGAGTGGGATTTAAAACTTTTTTTTTTTTTGGTTTTTCGAGACAGGGTTTCTCCTTGGCTTTGAAGGCTATCCTGGAACACACTCTGTAGACCAGGCTGGCCTCGTACTCACAGAGATCTGCCTGCCTCTGCCTCCGGAGTGCTGGGATTAAAGGCATGCGCCACCAATGCCTGGCAGGATTTAAAACTTAAAACAATATAGTCAGTGGTTTTCTGAGCAATGTCTCTCTGACAGACCTTTTTCTTCTGTTCTCGTGATTTTTTTAAATAGTGTTTTCAGGTTGGTTGGTTTGTTCTTTCTCTTGACCATGAACTCAAACTGTTCTATAAAATAAAAAGAAACACTTCCAAATTCTTCTACAAATCCAGTATTACCTTGTATCCCAAACCAGATAAATACCAAGTCATTAAGTAAAGAAAAGCCTAAGCCTATCTCTCTGATGAACATAGAAGCATTTGTAAACTGAATTTTAGAACACATCAAAAATATCATCCACCATGACCAAATCAGCTTTGTCACAGAGATGCTGGGATGGTTTGACATAT